GAACATGTTTAACCCCACCACATTTTGTATGTGCCTGTCCCAAGTCAGAAGCCTGTAATTCAGTGGTTGTCGTTTGTTGCTGTATATCATATTTGTTTTTCGTTCATTGGTTTGTACATAAATCAGGCCGTTAGTTTTCTCGTTTGAATTGTTTTACATTTGTCATTTCGGAGCATTTTATAGCTGACTATGCGGTATGGGTTTTTCTCATTGTTGAAGACCGTATGGTGACATATAGTTGTTACCTTCTACGTCATTTGGTCTCTTGTAGATAGTTGTCTCATTGGCAATCATAGCACATCTTCTTATTTTTATAGGGGCCTCGGTGGCCAAGTGGTCTAAGTAGTTCTACTACTGTAATCACTAGCCAGTCAACACTGAGGTTGTGAGTTCGAACCCCGCTCGTGCGGGTGCACTCGACTCCAATCTTAATTGACTAGGATTGTCAGTTTTCCTATCGAAGGTCGGTGGTTTTCTCCTGGCACTCCGGCTTCCTCCACCCATAAAAACTGACCGCCACGAAATAGCCCAAATGTGGCGCTTAAAAGTGGCGTTAAAATACCAACAATCAATCAATCAATCAATCTTATTTTTATATTCAATTAATAGTTTTTAAGCTCAAAAAGTGTGTACAGTTCAAACTCTATGACATGTGTCTGATGCCTGTTAGGAAATGTTTTTGAATTGTTTGCATACGAGTTTTTTTACAGTAACATTTTTTAAAAACTTTCAGAAGAAGTTGGGTTTTTTTTTTTCGGAATTCGAATACCACAGAATCTGACAATTGTTAATTTGCACACGTGCTGACATGCAAGATTACATTTACATTTTTATACTATATATTATTCAGGTATGGCCAAAAGAAAAAAGGTTAAACTTGGATGCGAACTTGCAAAAAAAATGTGCACTTAATTCAATAAATTTAACAGCAAAATAGCAATTTCAATGCAAGTATGCCCCAAGTTATGTAAAAAAAAATGCTAATCATTGAATCTGTATTCATTTGACCTTCAATTTAACCCCTTAGCCAGATATGGGTTACGCATAAACCAGGCGTGTTCAGCTATTAAAGGGAAAAGGATGTCAACATTGAAAGTGAAACAAGGGTAAACCATTTGGTTGACTGATTTCGATCCACAAAAACTCATTATTATACAGGTAACAACGACGATTATCATATTTTTTAACCTAAAAAATGAAATAAAAAAGACCTAGAAAAATCCAATTGCACGTGTTTGCAATCTATCTATATCTATATTTATGTTTATATCGGGTTATATGACCATCGACAGTCTTCGGAAGTCACCTCGTTGGTTGATTAGATGGCGTCTAGACTAAAATACACACGAAATGCTGATACATATTATAGAGTTCATGCATCGTTTATTGTTAATTTTAAAATTGAGAATGGAAATGGGGAATGTGTCAAAGCGACAACAACCCAACCAAAGAACAGAAAACATCCCAAGGCCACCAATGGGTCTTCAACACAGCGAGAAAATTCCGCACCCGGAGGCGGGCTTCAGTTGGCCCCTAAACAAAAATGTGTACTAGTTCAGTGAAAATGGACGTCACACTAAACTCCGAAACATATAATTGAACTAAAATAAAAAAAAACATACAAGACTAACAAAGGCCAGAGGCTCCTGACTTGGGACAGGCGCAAAAATTCGGCGGGGTTAAACTTGTTTTGTGAGATCTCAACCCTCCCCTATACCTCTAGCCAATGTAGAATAAAAAAAAAAACACACACACACACCAATACACACAGTAAAACTCAGTTCAAAAGAAGTCCGAGTCCGATGTCAGAATAGGTAACAGAAGAAACTAAGCAAAATGGCAATGTAACATAAATTAACAAAGGACTACTAGAAGTTACTGGTATGCAAGCTCCAGACCCCAATTAAACTGATTGAAAGATTATGTCTTCATCATATGAAAATCAAACACAATCCCTCCCGTTAGGGGTTTAGTATCATACCATCATAAAATATATGAGAAGAACATAATCCGTATCATGCCAACAACTGGTTTTAGAATAAATGTGTTTATTTCCGATGCAAAGACCCTATGAGTGAATCAATATTAATTTCAAAATATGCCATTTTTAATGACCAGACAACAGTATCGTAACTATATCCCTTCTTAATAAGTCTGTTTAAAGGTTTGGTTAGCTTTTGAGGTGAATGGCGACATTTTTGTGTTTTGTATAGAATATAACCATAAAAGATTGGATGTGAAATACCTGAACGTATAAGATGTCTGCATGTTGATTTATATTTACGAACGATGTCCTTGTATCGATGACAAAATTTAGTAAATGCTTTGACTAGTTTGTGATATCTAGAACCCTGGTGTAATAATTTTTCAGTAATACAGAAATTTCTTTCGTTAAAATCAAATACGTTTTTACATACACGAGCGAATCGAACAAGTTGAGACATATAAACACCATAAGATGGTGACAAGGGAACGTCACCATCTAAAAATACATAATTAACATTAGGAAATGAAAAATCATCTCTTTTATCGTAAATTAAGACCTTTTATAATTTGGATATACGTTTTAGTATGTTATAAATCAAATATAAGAATTTGAGACAAATCGGTGAACATGAATCAAACAGCTAATACCCCTTTAATGTATACATTCCCCCCCCCCCCCCCCCCCAAAAAAAAAAAAGATTTATTCTGATCAATTCACCGTCACCAAAGCCATTTTTTTTTAAATTCTATACTTTCATTCAATTAATTTTAATATGATCCAATCCTTCATATGAACCGTTATAGAGGTTGTTTGGCTTAAATGACGATTTTTGACTAATTTTATATTGTTGCTTATCTTAAAAAGTAAAATAGATAAAAAGAGTCTGTAAACAGTAGAAATGATCAGCAGGTCAAAACCTACAAAATGGCAATATGACTGAAACCAGCACGTGACTACAACTAGGAGTTACTACACTTAATGAAGTTATTGGCAAAAGATGTGTTTGCTTAGTATCTTAAAAACAATAATAGTCACAAACTGTAAACTGCCAATATCATTAACAATACAGGAACTCCAAAAAACGAACAAAACCAAAAATTGCTAAATATATATAATCTTTTAAACGCTAATATGACTGAAGCAATTAACTGAGTGCTTACTGTAATTATTATCCTTATTGAAGATGTTTACCTAGTTATTGCTGTTCTTGAAAAGTATAATAAACAGACAGAAACTATACATTACAAAAGTGGTCGGTAAGATCAAGATCAAGATCTACAAAAATGAGCTACAGTCCTTTAGCGCCTGTTGTTATTTTTAAGATGTATCATTTGCGCCAATATACGGAAATCATTTGCTCTAATTTACCTTTACACATATTAATTAAACATGATAATCCTTAATAAATTAAAGTACCTTTAATAAAATGATTTATGGGATAAATTTGACTAGAGTTGCTGAAAAAAGTATTACGAAAAAGGGAGAATACAATCAAATAAAACATGCATAGATGATTTATCGATATGCCCCAACTAAAAGTTATTCATCGCATCCATCCATAAAAAGATAACGATAGGATTACCAATGAGACAACTACTGACCAAAGTTCAAATGAAGAGGATGAACTCAATTATTGGCAACCGTTTTAACCTTCAACAATGAGAAAAACAATACCGTATATTCGGCTTTAAAAAGCTCTGACACCTTAAATTGAAATTCATAAAACTAACGGTCTACTTTACTATCAGTGCCATCGACCTTGTGGTTGTCAAAGATAACAGACTTACAATTAAGCATGCCAGACGTGTGTTATGTCTACATTAGACAAACGTTAGAATTACAACAGTGTAATGGCCAGAAATCAAATATTACATTAAAGATCATTGAAACAAATTGAAAAAGATGCCAAATTTAGCTACGGCCTCATATAGATATAAGAAGATGTGGTTTGATTGCCAATGAGACAACTCTCCATCCAAGTCACAATTTGTAAAAGTAAACCATTATAGGTCAAAATACGGCCTTCAACACGGAGTCATGTGCCTGAAGGTAGAAAAAGCTCAGTGTTTCAAATGATTCATTATCTCATAAAAATGCAGTAAACTAAACAAATTACCATATCAATGATATTTCATGTCAGCACAGATTAAAAATCCGAATAGAACTTTCATGATATGACCACTGATGTTCATATCATCTTTGTATCGCGATTGATGATATTAACCTTAGCTGCTTCCATGCTATCTTGCATTAGAAAAAAATGGTAAGAAGTAGAACAAAATTCAAATTTGTAATATTTACTTGATCTTAGTTCAAGTAAATATTACAAGTTTGATACTCATTAAATGCGAAAGATGCGCAAAATTCCAAAGTAGAATCAAAACTCATAAGCTTCCAACCCTTAAATTCGTAATAATGAAAAAGAACAAAAAAAGCAATGATAAAAGATGTATTAAGAAAAATACTGAACTTCCAGGTAAATTCAAAGAGGGAGAGTCTATAAAACCTCGACAATACCAACCAACGGGACACTGGAACATCTGTCACATTCCTAACTTGGTTTATGCATTTTCCGAAGACAAAAGATGCTTTTCTTTTGATCGTTTAATTGTTCCAAATTATTAGAAATCTTTATTATAATGTACCTTGAAAATATTTTTAGTAGAGAATTGATATTTAATTTATTAAGTAAATACAGAATTGTTTATGTAAGAAAGAATGACTTATCTTCATCAATAACAAAACTTCTCCTTTACGTTATTACAATATCTTTCTGCACAATTTCACACATGACGCATAACACTGTAATAACGGTGTAGCTGATGAAAACAAATGTATAACATAATGAAAAAAATAACTTGTCAGAAAGTAAAGTTCGAGTGAACTGGTGTTAAAATTTCTCAACATTTGATTGGCTACACATGATACTTTTATTTTTTCCTCAACATTTCTATGAACAATATAAACTGGATTTTTAGCGTCTGTAGCAAACTTAACTTTGCAGAAATCAACGTTCAAAAGTATAAAAGCTAATTGGAGTGAAAAGAAGATTCAAGTTGTAGCCGCATTGCTCTGCTTAATAGTTTTTCTATATTCTGAAGGTAAGTGTTTATTTGAAGTAAAAGAAACATGGGTTAAAAAGACATTATTTTTGATGACTTTAATACTTTTGAGTAGTAATAGAAAAGAGGGTAAATATAAAAATGACCGATATAGTTTCTATTCAGTCGACTTGACATATTGTTATGGCACCAGTCTATTATTAAAGACTGTATGTTGCCCCATAGATTTTTTTATTTTGGTTATTAAGGTCGGGTTACTGACTCATTGAAGTATATCCAACATCTCCTTTAAAGTCTATTGAAAAAAAAAGAAATGCAATTTACGACCATTTAATAATTTTCTTAAATTACTATTTTTTTCAAATAAAGACTGTCAGACTTGATTCATACAAAAAACAACTCATGGCGGGACATAAAATAAAATATTTCAGGACAGGACAGATCTCCGATAATTCATTACGAGACAGAGATAAGATCTTTCATGACTGGATAGAGATAAGATAATTCATGAAGGTACAGAGACAAGACAAGACAATTCATGACGGGATAAAGATTTGATAATTTATGAAATGACAGAGATTAAATGATTCATGATTAGACAGATATCAGACTCAACTTAATTGTACATTCTTTCTATAAATTTTCCTAGTTTTGCACGAAGCAAGAAAGCGAAAATGTGATCACGTTAATTTTGAGGACATGTTTAATACAAAAGAAACTTGTGTTTTATTTCCAATTCAATATTTTTGTTTTTCTTTTAGCTAATATAATATCTTTTTCCCTTGTCTATGTTTTGTAAACATTTTATTCTTCACAACCCTGAAACATGAAGTAAAGAAACTGGGGACAAATACCAGCAATAACAACTTCAGAAATAACATGACATCATTTAAATTTTGCAAATTTTTTTTTAATAGTTTTATCTTTCAAAGCATACACAACGTATACATACGTTTGGTTTTTAGTTTCAAACATTTACATTAGCGGAATATTGAAACAATATTTCGCTATTTGTAGTCAGTTTGGTTCAATTTTGTCAAACAGAGCTGAAAAAAAAACAAAAAAACGTCGCTAGTTTATTGTTGGATTTTAAGTCGATAATTTTTCGAAAAACTAAGGATTTTCTACCCTATAATCAGATTACCCTAGTTGTATTTTGGAAAAGCTTTCGGAATTTGTGCTCTCAATGCTCTTCAACTTCGTACTTTATTTGGCTTTTAATTTTTTGGCCTGTTTCGAGCGTCACTGGTGAGTCTTTTGAAAATGAAAAGAACGTCTGGCGAACAAAATTTCCTTGTATTACAACAAAAAAGTAATCATTACCATCATGTTCAATATGTTTAATATGAGTTCAGAATGTCAGGACTTAAATCACTTTCAATGTCTTTTTTTTTGCCAATATATTTATTTTGAACATACAATTTTGTATAGGTAAACCCCAAGGCAAGGGCAAATGCAAAGGCAAGGCAAAGAACAACTACGAATTAAGTTATGAGAAAAATGGGTACCATGACCAGGAAAATCCGTGCAAAAGGTGTAAAGGTAAACTTGAAACAGTTCTTAATTGATAATCATTTGTTTTGTTATCCAGTTGAAAAATGAAGTTTGAGTTACTGATGAAATTTCTAATTGTCAATAATTACCCCATTAAAACAATTATTTTACAGCTATTTATGAAAGATTATACTGTTTTTGATGTAATATTGTTACTTGTTCTCTTATATTGTAATATTCTTCCTGTAGAAATGTTAATTTTACTGTTATTCCTTTCCTCCGGTCGTCAAACAGATATTTGCGTCATATTTTTTTCCAGTACTACTGAACATAATTATTTCATCAATGATCCTTAGCTCAGCAGTGGTTAGACACATTTAAGAATCTGTAAGACACCTTCTTTCTTTTTGTCATGCTTTTGATTTTTCAATTTTATGTGAGAATGAACTTAAAATGTTGTCGAATTATTCTCGAGTTATTTTAAACAGAATGGCATAATGTTTGGTCAGCATTTTGTTAGTGAGTTGTTACGAAGGGGCTCTTTAGACCTGTCAAACAACTACTTCCTGTTTACTTATACTTTGAATAACGATTGGGGTATGATAAGCGCAAAAACACGTGCATTCTTAATGTAATAATTAGATTATTTCTCCATGGACTTGGATTGATCATGCATGTCTAAAGCATGGAGTTTGTTGGACATTAGTTTTTGGATGGACAATCTATTTTCAATATTAGGTCTATGTACATTTAAAGTTACATTATCACGATAATGATTTTGGTTTAATGCTTATTCTTGTAATTCTTGTTCTTTTTTAGCACTTAACTGCATTATATTTTTGTTTAACAACATGGGTGTAATTTACAAATAAAGTTATCATTATGAAAATCAACATTGGATGATCTTGAGAATGTTTGTAGTTGATACGAGTAGGGTATAAAAGGACGTGTATGTTAAATTGTTAATGCAAAAGTGGACTCGCTTTATGTGGTTTATATGCTTAAATATGTTTCGTAATTAACTAAGTGAACTTTTTGACTCGAATTGAAAATAAATTTTATTAATTTCGTGAGTCAAAGATTTTCAGATTTTACATTAAAAACTCTATTGCGCACTGGAATAGTTTCTGTTATAGGTTGTAGCATTACTTAGGCAAACGTTTATAGATTGAAAGGTAACAATAAACATACAAAAATCAACAGGAAATAGTTTCAGCTACTACATTAGAGTTATACACATTTATTCTATCTTTATAGGCCCTTGCAAAACTCTTCCAACATGTCCAGAGGGTTACACGAAGCTGACTAATCAAAGTATTAGCCCAAATTGTTACCTCTATGGAGGAAGCAATGTTACGTATAGAACAGATTGGCATGTAGCAAATGTGAGTTCGTCATACAACAAACCAGTATTTTTAAAACAAGAACTTTAAGTTAGAATATACGTTTACATTATCATAATTCAGATTAACTAACATAATAGGTCACCTGCAGGTAAAAACTGCAAAATTATAAAGTATAACATATTAAAAATACTGTTTGACCACATTGCGATAGATAAGAGATAGTTATGGATGTTAAGCGAGTAGGTGAAGGATAAACATTAACGTGACAGTAACCCGATAGGTGTTCATACGTAGCTACAGACTGAAAGAAGACTGTATTGCCCACCTTGTTTCTAAATAACGAAAAACTTTATATGAAACCTCTCTGGGTTGTACCTATATACTTCTGAACTACAGCAGTTCACGATTACATCTGATTTTAGGAGCATTCGTAAATAAAAGGGTCACTGTTTGTTTGAGCTTTATCCTGCGGTTTTAAAAATAATAATACCAAAAGAAGGACGAGATAGTTCATTTACTCTTTCCCTTAAATGCCTAACCAGCTCATTCTTTTATTTTTTGGTTGTTAATCATATATTTTTGGAAAGCAGGCAACCATGTTTGAAGTTTGAAGGTCGTTACGGTCACTTAAAGATCTTTAGTTTCATGAATATGTAGGTTTTTTTTTTTTTTATTTCTAGGTGTCAATTTATTTTTAAATTTTATGAAATTGAAGAAACGCATTTCACTCCTTCTGTTTGTCTGTTTGTTTATTCGCTCGTCTGTTACCCTATTGGACGATAATGAAATTATCAGTTGACCAAAATCTTTTGAGTTTTTGAAAGAATGACATGGACAATAAAATCAATTCTTTTTATTTTGATGGTAGAGTTATATCCTTTATATTTAAAAAATAAAAATCGGAACTATGCTGGTTTTCCAAATGACGATTAAGTAACACTAGAAATAATCTTTCATATATTTAAGCATAATACCATGAATAATAAAATACATCTCAAATTCAATTTTGTGGTTTTTTTTATTTACTGTTCAAGATTTCTGCGCCTTAATTAAAATGGGTCTTGTGTCCCAATGATTACTTAAGTTTTTTAAACTTGCAGCTTATATCGTGGACCAAAAACTTCTAACAAAGTGTGGTTTCCAAAAGTTTGACTTTTTTATGAATTATGATAACGCCTATAGCTATCTTTTTTAAAAATGGTGTTTTGTTTGTGCCTGAACGATAAAAAATGTTCCGCTTGACATAATAGTTATTTCAATCGACTCATGGAACATAGTCGTCAGATCAAAATTTTATTTTGACAGCGATTATTTAAGAGTTATTTTCCAGTTGTGTATACTAATAAATGTAATTAATTGAAATCGTAGTTCATTTATACTAAAACTATAAATTTATACTTTACCTAATTGGGAGTTATATTGTATTTGATTTTCTGCCCTTTTGTTCATTCGTCTTTTCGTTCAACATTAATTTCTGTCATACTTTTTTCAGCTACTTCTGAACAGAATTACTTCACATTATGTCTGTAGTTTGACAGTCGTAAGTGGTAACGCGAGAATACTTTTCAGACAAATAACGATATTTCTTTATGCCGATATTATGAAATTATCAACATGTTGAATAAAAAATATAAAATATTGTCACATCCAATATGCTATTCAGGAGATCAACTGCAAAATAAAATTTGATGTTGCAATTTGGTTTTCACATTGTCGTATTTAAAATAATAATAACAAGAGTTTTCTTAATTTTTTTCCATTGTATGACGGATGTATGGGTGTGTACAAGAGATATGGACAGTTCGCACTAGTATTTGTTGTGATGACCAGGACATCAAATAGAATTTGTCATGTCTAGAATGTATAAAAATGCACTATTTGCGATGGCAAAACAAGATATACATTTTCAAAAATATGACTCTTCTTAAGTCAAGAACATTTTAAAATGATTTGCATGTTTTATTATTTATTTTTTTCTGTCTAGGCGATATGCACCAGTACTCCTGGTGCTTACTTGTGGATTCCAGAAACAAGAGAAGAGGCTGAAGCAGTTTTAGCCAAATTTGATGTCTTTGGTAAGCAACTGTCCAATTTTCTGTGTTAAGTAGTTGTATTAGTCTATTACATAGTTTTGTAAATGTCTTTTGGTTATTGTGTTGTTTTTTTGTTTTTTGCTGTTTCGTTGAACTTTTTTCCATTAACCGTCCGTCAGTCGTTTTGGTGCAAGATCACATACTTGATATCAGGTTGAAATGTTGCTCAGATAAATGGTCACATATAATTAGATGTAGATCCCTACTGATTTTTTGTTATCCCTTAAGATCTATGGTAAGTGCCATAGTTACTTAAAAAGACAAACATTTGTGCAAAAACGTGGTTTTCAAATGCTTAATCAAATATCTCATTTTGGATTGCAACCATTTTGGGATTTGGGGTCACGTATATTAAGAATTATACCACTTATTGATTTTGAAGTAACTAGGTATAAGGTGTATGTCAAAGTTGCTTAAAACAGATCTATGCAAGACAATAGTACTATTTGAAACCATTACAGAAAGGAATCATATCTGAAAGTAAACAGATGAAAAAGTATTACATCAGGTTAATTTCATCTGTCCTCTTTACATTGGGGCGTAAGGTATATGAGCTTGCTCACTAAAGTTACCTTAATTAATAGTATGCGTTTCGAATAATAAGTTCAACCATTGTCATTTACCTGTCATAAAAATGTCATAAAATGTAGTATGAAGGCGTTTTTTTTTTCTTTTTAAATATTTTTAATTTTCTACGGTTCATGCTGAGTAACTGATGGATATTTTGAGATTATCCTTACATATTTACAATACATTGGCAGTCAGTTCAATAATTAGAATAATTTTGTGTTGAAATGGTAGCCTCGGTTTAACATGGGAATAGTATATAAATAACACATAGCTGAGAGGGTGATAGAGCAGATTGTTACCCCGAGAAAACATTGTCAACTGAATGTTCTGTAATTACTGTCTATTAAATTTCAAATTCAAAGTAATATACTTTGTCGTCTTGTACATAACAATCATCCGTATTTATTAAAGCGCACACTTGAGCAAGCGTCTCCGTGAAAGGTAATAGAGTATTTGCCATGGGATAGAGTAAATTGTCTCCCTCGTATTAACCATTCAAAATCTGGCATTTTGACATGAAGTATAATAATATGTTTTATTCTAGGTTAAAGCCATAGCTAAGTCCTATTCGGGTTGTGTACTTCTTTATTCTCGTTTGATTAATAGTACACATAAGTTCCTTTTATCACCCTAATTATTAGAATCATAAAAAGTATTAATTCAGACATACAAGTAGTATCATAGCTACTGGCATTTCAGTAATAAAATTTTAAATGACAATTGATGCAGCTCGATTTGTATATTCTCATATCAAAATTTAAAATATTCATCAAAGATTTATAGAAAAAAAAAAACGTTTGATGAATGTTCAAAATAAAGCAACTATTAAAAGTTAAGACTTTAGAGGTACACAAAATGGAGAAATTACATTTCTAACTACATTACAAATACATGTTTCAAATCTGATACCGTAATTCAAATAAAGATCCCTTTTTTATGATGTATTATAAGTTGTCAGTCTATTATTATATTTTGAAGGGATTTTAGGGAATTTTGACGTTTTCACTGGAGCAAACAATTTAGCTGACAGATACAGTTATGTTTATTCAGTAACAAATGACCCATTTGACCAGGACAATCTACCATATGGTATACGTATGTATATTAACCATTTTATAAACTTAAACATTATTCATGAACACAATTATCTATTTTTAGTTAAAAAAAACTAACTGGGAATTCATGAAATTTGAAATAAATTTATATATGCATTGACATTTAGAGATTCTTATTCAATAACCAGTATTGTTTTATGTACCGCTAACGATGGTACAGGTTTATAAATAATTATGAATCTTGAATATTAAAATTTAAAAATTATTTGACAGTAGCAATATGAATATATTTTTGAGACAAGTAGTAAAAATTTCATTAAAATTGGAGAAGAAATGAACTGAAAATATGTTTGGGAAAATTTATTGTTTTATAAATAATTTGTAAGGAAAAAAACAAAAGAAAGAATGAATGGTGTGCACATACTGTACAGATGTCTAAGGGTGTATTCACATGGTTATTCGTCGATATACATTAACAATTACCTGTAGTAGTACGCAGGGAAATATCGCCTAACTAAGAAATTGACAAGGAAACTCATTTAAACATCAACTGCGTCGGATAGAAATCGACCTTATGCAAATGAATATCAATACATCTGTTAACCTATTCGGGTTGAAAAATGGAATGTCTGAAACTGTTTGAAAACTGAACTGTTATAGGAAGATCTATAAAACAGATCAAAATTCATCTATTATTTTGTATTTGAATGTTCCAAAATCAATCAATGTTCAGATTTTTTTCTCACATTTTAATCTGACATGTTCTATTTAAACAGCTTTCAACATAGCTATCCTCCCTAACTTAATGTTCATCTTTCCGATGTGATCATATGCCATGTTCTTAAGTTAGCTTTCTTCGTATTATAACAGATATGCATACTTCAAATGTAATGTATTGTCATTCAATATAAAAATAAATCATATAGAGATGAACAAGAAAGTCTTTTTTTTTTCTATCAACGTTATAAAAATGTTGCTCTTGACATTTAATGCATTTAAGCTTTCTTTTTAGCATTGGAAGGTAACCCTCATTTCAATAATAAAAGTTGTTTCGAACTTGAGTGGGATGTGGAGAAACGTGTATTTGAATGGGACGCTGATGATTGTTCTGGAAGTTCAAACGAGGCATACATTTGCGAGTTTCCAATTGTAAATTTTTAGCATACATATTATAACATTGTTTGAGGTTAACTGGTCTTTTCTTAGATATTTTTTTACGGTATTCATGAGATCATTATTTCTGTAAAAACTTTACAACAAACAGAATATTTCTATCAAACTAAAACAAGATAGTTTTTAGTGTTACTTAGTTTTCTAAACTAGTCGACCAACGTATATTGTATGTTCATGTTATTATCATTGACCTGTGTTTGCCTTATTATATGAATAACTAGATAGTTCGGAAGTATGGTTTTAAACTGTTTACTCTTCGGGTACAACTACATGTCTCTGTTTCATAGATTGTTCAGACTTGTAAAAGTACTGTTTATTGTTTCTTTCGTCACTTTATTTTGTGGTCATGATGGCGCCGTCATTTTTATCAGATTCTGTTTCAAACTTGTATGAAGGTTTACACTTACTAATGAATTTGATTATTAAAAACAAATCTGAAATTGGGACTTTTTTGTCAAAGAAAGAAGCTGAGAGAGAAATAACTCATATTAATTCTTAATAAATATGCCAGCATAAACTCTTCACTTCAATATTGGGTATGTGTCCTGTTCCCAATTGTGATATTTTGGCTGAGCGTTGATTGGCATGGCGGGGGATTCGTGATAGCAGGAGACGTTTACCCTGTGATGTACCCTGTCTCACTACTTTTAGAGTTAATGCAATTCATTCATTTTAAGTTTGTTACCTTGTTCTGCCATCTTACGGATGTTCGCTACTCTCTTTCAAAATAACAAGCTTTTTAAAAGACTGTTATAAGTGAATAGCATATAAACAAAGGAACTAAAAACGCAGAAAAAATTAAGGGTTTGTGTGCTTGTTTTCAAAATAGAAGCCATTTGAATTTGTCAGGAAATTATTCTGTCTCGATTTTTCATACATTTAACATTGGCACCTTTTTTCTTTCATAAATTATGAAAAAATATCAAGGATTTTATTACATTTTCAAATATGGCTTTTTAAACTATATGTAATAAAATTTTGAAAAGAAAAGCAAGGTTTGCCCAAGTTTGTAAATTAAAACCAGAGGATTCCGAATATCTGGCAAAAATTCAAAAACAAGTGGAGCGAACATCCCTAATCGATTTATAAGAATTAAATATCGGAAAAGTATTTTTGCCTTATTTACAAAAGGTTGTCATTTATCTTTGTTTTCCCACGGCTATGATCTATTATATAAATTAATAGCGTTCATAGTCTTTAAAAATATACACTCTGAATATTTATAGTTTATGATATAAAAGTTAATATGCACAGATTTCATATACTAGTGTGTAAAAAACAGTTCTAGCTTGACACATGTTGAAAATCAAACAAATCTAACAACCTTACACCCTACATAATATAAAAGTTCAAGGTACGAGTTAACTGAACAAACCATTTATTAAAGTTCAAGTTGTGTTCAACATCACTGTTTACTAAGTCGAATGTTTGCGGCAATATATTCGTAGATATAACGGGGAAATCATATTTGTCTAGATTACTAGAGTATCAAAATATTAATTTTATATGAAAACGCTTATATGTTTAACACATATTTTTCTCTTTTTCAGGCCGAAGCATGTTACTAGTCATGCAAGTTCATTGAAGAGTTTCCAGTTGGACATCTTCTATTAAATAAAATCGTACAAAACAATTTCTTTTCCAATTTCATAATTCGTACTAATTCAAATTGGAAGCCTTATTCTATAACAGGTTCATGATTACAGAAGAGTTATTTAATGTCACGATTTCAGGGTAAGCGTCTCCTGTTGGGCATATATTACCTACCATGCTAATCAAAATGTCACAATCTGGAATAGGATACGATCGGTAAACTAACAGATCAGACAGCTATTCTGGTATTTATCAAAATATAACCGTGAAAACAGGACGCAATTGATTTGAGACAGCAACACATTGTAATGTTCATCAAATTTGCAGAGTTGACCGTACTGTCGATTCCAGTCGTTCTTCCTGACAACTCTGTTGGAGCAGTTTTTTTGTCAGGAGAACACCCCCTATAGGTGATGTCAGAATAGTGTTAATATGCACAAAAGTATAGTACCAATTAATACATTTAAATATCATACGATGGGATAGAGGGTGAGTTACTGATAAATAGAAAGCTGAAATCATCATGTTATAAATTTTAGTTTAAGGTCGACCATATGTGTCAATATCAAGAACAAAATCCTGATAAGAGGTAGAGTTTCTAGTTTGGTAGTATCTTTATTTTTTAAAATTCACCAGGAAAAAGGAGATACAAGTATTCACTTAAGTATGGGTTATTGGGTGATAGGAAATCATCAATATATCTGAAAAGGATATTAAATAACTTTTTAAAATACTTTTTTATTTGTTCTTTGAGAAGGTTTTGTATGAGTTATGCTTTAAAAAAAAACTAGTCTGTCAGTAGGAGTGAACAATTAGTACCATTGGAATACACGAGCATTGTTGAAATATTGATCCACCAAACTCAACAAATATGTTGTCGATCAAAAACACAAGAATTTTGATGATGTTGTCTTCTGTACATCCATCAGTAACCTGAAGTTCTTCCAGTTTACTGGCTGGGTAATTCGATAATTCGGGTACATGTATTTGGCTATTAATTTTCAAAAGTCTTTCATTGTTAATGATGTTAAGAGCACCGGTTATAACATGATCAAGAGGACATTTTTTTTTGGGGGGGGGGGGGACGTTGAACAAGAACAAGTGCAGGTTTGATTCAACATCTTCAAGGTCAAGATCTCTTATATCCTCTTGTGGTTGAACATGTTAGATGCAATTGGTTTGGTGTAAATGACAGGCGTAGCTTCATATTTCGAGTTATCAGGTATGGTTTTCTGCACAGACGTTTTTGGGGGAATATATTGCTAATATTGACTCTTATTAACTCTACGTTTTTTCTTCATCTTTGCGACTTCTTGTCACGGATCTAAATACCTTGTGAATAATGATGTTCATAATAATTGCAACCAGTCTGTACTGAGTCGAATTTGTATCAAATACGGAAATGTATTTGCCTCCGGAAGAGAGAGACAAAAGATATCAAAAGGATAGTCAAACTTGTAAGTCGAAAACGAACTGACAATGCTATGGCAAAAATACGAAAAAAGATCAAAAGACAGACAACAGTCTAAAGAACACAAATAGAAAACCAAAGACTGAGCAACACGAACCCCATAAAAAAACCGGAGTGTGAGCAGATCCTGCTCTACATGTGGCACCCGTCGTGTTGCTCATATAAATACACACCTAAATGAATAGTGAATTGAGCTGCAAGAATGGCTTTAGAAATAGTTAGGTACAAATATATTGAATAAATGTTTTTTTAACAAAGGATAACAGACCATTCCTGGACACGGTATTAAATTCAGGTTGTGTATATTTTCGATGACAGTGACCCCTATTGCGTCTAACAGATTTGTTAAATGATTATAACTTGTTGATATCACCACATCTGGGACTTGATAGAATATTTACACCCTCATTTTTTTTTTAACATTCGTAAAGAAAAACTGTTCCCAAAATCGGATTGACGATACCAGGTATCCTCTGACTGAGTATCAAATGCAGTCATATTTTTTTTTATTTCATATAAAGTGTTTAAGAATGATTAAGAATCGTTTCCTTTGTGTTATTTGTTATGAAATTATTTCCTGACTTGTGATTTAGGGTCTTATAATGTACTTGTGGAAAGGGGGAATACTTGCGCACATGCGTATTGTGCAGGAAATAAAAACAAACGTTCGACATGTTTAAAGTTTCGACTTACAGTCTACAATGGTAAAGGAGCACGTACATATGGTTTAACCCAACAAATGTGTGTGTCTTTACAATGTTAGGAGATCTGTATCATAAGGTGTTCGTTGATGTCTGTCTTTGGTTGTATGTCTGTAATTTTTTCGGAGGTGTTTGTGTTTGGTTATCTATTGTATGCCTTTTTGGTAAAAACCTATTTTCTGCGTCATTGAATAAAATATTTTAATTTCTAAATCTCAGTTGTCGATATCTTTTGTTGGAAATGATTAGGTAAATCGTAATAGTTTACACAATAATGTCTCCTGTTAGGCATATAGTATTGCATCAGGATAAAACCTAGAAGTCACAAAGACATAGTTTCAACCCTCTCCTAAAGCTGGGATAGATGTGTAACATCACAACATAAGAACAATAAGTAAATATCAGCTGGATGGGGCTTGATTAATCAGATTGTTATCTAGACACAAAGTAACGTTTTGAGAAGAAATTTGAAATGAAGCATAACATAATGATATTAACATGAATGGCTTTTTCAAGCTCTCCCGCGCTTTGATTACCAGTATATTTTAGTTTATAACCATTTTAACAATCATTGAGCATAAATGTAAAGAATAAAATGTCTGCATATATAAATAGACTTCACAAAGACAAACAACAGTAAACACAACAGAACAAAGTTCAATAAAGACTGAACAACACGAACCCCACCAAAAAACGTTGGTTGATCTTAGGTGCTCCTAAAAGGTAATCAGATTCTGCTCCACATGTGGCGTCCATCGTGTTGCTCGTGTAAGTACAAATCCGATTATATGTCTAATTTGGTAGGTCAAATTAAAGGAAAATAGGACGGGATTAAGAGGATTGATTGTTTTAATTGGAAATTTAAGCCGCTGTTTTTTTTCTTTTTTCTTTTTTTTTTTTTTTTTTTTTTTTTCGTTCGCCGTCTTATTGACGTTTATCCCACGTCTCCTTTTCTTTACGTTTTGATATACATGTACATGTTTCTTACTGTGAAACGCTACTTTTTTCGTTTTCTTTATAGTCTAACAGAAAAATATTTAAAGTCGCAGAAAGCATGATTATTGAGTCTTTTGAAACATTTTTTATTCCTTTTCAATTTACACGAAAACAAATATTTTCCGTTTTGGGATTTACTTTTCTTAGATGTGTGTCAGTTACTTTTTGGCACCTTTTAAGTGGGTGATTTATTTTACATCTTTTTTGTTTGTTTGAAGAAGTTGATG